GATTTATTGTTATTGCTTGATCACGCCCCTTTTTGCAGGTTTAAAGAGAATTTGTACTTGAAATCACGCCTAATAAGATAACTAATAATTTGATTTAGGCTTAATATGATTTTAATTCAAGTGATCACCAATATTAGATTTGATTGTGAATTAATAATCAACCAACATAGATTAAACAGACTTAGGATCGGATTAATTTGATGTATGTATGTTGATTGAAAAGCGCGAATGAATATCAATAAGAATCCAGTAGAGGCCTATTTAGGGTGGGTTTGGCTTCTCTTAGGTCATCGTACCATCATCCCTGAACATCCAATCATGGTTCCAAACCACTATGGAGTTAGCAATCTCTGTGATTGTGAGTGGGGCGTAACTTTCACAATCGTGAACGGTTTACAAGTTCCTAAAACTTGTTGGCGACTCTTTTTTCTCTAGCTTCTTTTCCTTGGAGCGCCGTCATGCTTAAAAACTTGACCCACACGTAGGGCGGTGAAAAATTCCCTACAATTATTATAATATCATTGCTTTTTTTATGAACCGATTTTATTTTTGCTTGTTAATACGAGTACTTTACTTATTGAATATTTGAATATGTATGTTTCTTACATTAAGTAATACAAAGTATAGATCGAAAAGAAATATAGATTGAAAAGAACACACTATCGACTTAATAAAAGTCCATAACTCTTTTTTTCTTCGCATTATCAATCTTTCATACGAAAGTTTCAATTGTGTCTACTTTAAATCTCTTGGACACATGTATGCGATGCCGATTGGGCACCCAAAGAAGACAAATAAGTGCATATTTAAAAGAGTATGACATTATGATAGAACATGAAAGTTGTAGCAGACCAGAAGAGTTAGTTAAATTAGTTCAAATATTGTTAAAGTTAGTGTTGGAGCACAATTTTACATGAATAGAAAGATGATTTCAATCTAAGAATCCACTTGCTTCAATATGGCTCCTATACTGCATGGAATTGTTCTTAGATTGTTAATTTTAAATATTGTTATATAGAAGTAATAATGAAGTATAATACAATTTCGTGAAAAAAAGTATAATACAATAATACAACATGTCATAAGAGACCCGCATTTTAAAATCAACATACCACATGTATTTTAAAATCATAACCACGAATTATACATTAATATCCATATTATCAATATCATCTCAACATAAGTTGGACTGTTGAAGTATTAATAACACCTCAATGCTCAGTGGATTACTATATACTTCCTCGGTTTTTTTTTTATTTATTTTTTAAATAGTTGCAACATTTTGACTTTTACACTATTTATGTGTTTCACTTTGACTAGCTTTGATGATTTATAGCTATGAAAAAGGAATTTTTCAAACTCATCTTTGAGCCCTACTACGGTTCATGCTTTTAGGCATGGCGGCGTTCCAAGGAAAAGAAGCTAGAGATAAAAGAGTCGCCAACAAGTTTTAGGAACTCGTAAACCGTTCACGGGTGTGAAGGTTACACCGCATTCACGATCATGGAGATCACTAACTCCATTGTGATCCGGAACCATGACTGGATGTTCGGGGATGATGGTACGAGTCCAACCTAAAAGAGATTGAACTCGCCCTAAATAGGCTTCTACTTAAGTCTTATGATATTCATGTGCACTTTTCGATCAACATACATACATCAAGTTAATCCTAAACCTGTTTAATCTACATTGGTTGATTATTAATGCACAATCAAATCTATTATTGGTGATTACTTGAATTAAAATCATATTAGCCCTAAATCAAATTATTAATTATCTTATTAGGCGTGATTTCAAGTACAAATTCCCTTTAAACCTGGAAAAAAGGGCGTGATCAAGCAATAACAATAGATCATGAATAATCAAGCAACATATGATTAATATAACATCATCATCATTAAAACATCGTTAGTAAGATTCTAGGCATGATACTAAACGGATTAATAACAAATCCTAGCATGTCACTAATAATCAAATCAAAGCGTTATCCTAAACATGATACTAGAAATCATAAAAATATCCTAAACATGATACTAGAAATCATAAAAACATCCCAAGCATGATACTAGGAATTAAATAACATTGTAAACATGATTTTTACTCCAAAATCAAAGAATAATAAAGTAATCGAATTACTTACTTTGATGCCTCAACCTTCTTGCTATTAAAACAATACACATGTTAGTAAACTTCAAGAAAGTTAAATTAATAAAGTAAATAAATCAAATATGAATTGAAATATAGATTTGGGACCAAACCCTCAGAATTATCAACCTTTCACATCGAGGTTGAAGGCAACGTCGAGTATGGTTTGGAGTATTCGAATCTCGCAAAGGAGGTATTGTGGATGATTTGGGAGAATATTAAGGATGTCTTAAGGCTAAAAACATGGATGATTGATAAGGTTTGATGATGATTAGGGCTAGGTGGTAATAGCTTATGATTGATGTTTCTAACTGATTTGAAAACGGGGAAAATGACCTCTATTTATAAGGAAAAA